AAAAAAAAAAAAAAAAAACAGTTTTTTCAGAAAATGTATGCCTTTTTTTTTTCCATTTTCTGTTATTTCGGATTTTCTGTATAATATATTATTATTTTGTCCCTTTTGGTTGAATGCACTTTATGGTCCTTCAAGTTTGACAGTTTTTATTTTACTCAGGTCCAAAACCAGTTCCTTTGGAGCATCTCAAATAATTTCTCCAAAATCTATCACTAGTGAGGCGTCTCACAAGAATTCACCTCGAGCTTCTTCATGTGAGGCATCCAATAAAAGTTCGCTACGTGTGGCGCGTGAAGTCAAGATAAGTCCCAGATATGCCGAACCCACCGCATCCTCTTGCAACCTAGCAAGTAGGCCACCAAAAGAAGGAAGTCCTAAAGTTCCCAATCATAGATCACCTCGAAGCTTACTCCCTGAGGTACACTTAAAATGCACAATCTTTTCTGTACAACCTAGAAAAGTTTCCAGTCAGTTTGATGGTCATTATGTTCTTCTCTTATCCGATAATTTTGGAATTTCACACACATCCATTGAGAAAAGAAAAATACGATCAAAGTCCTCTAGCTTAAAATAAGTTAATGCCTCTTGCCAACATTCCTTTTTTTCTTCTTTTCACATCGAAATATGTACTATTTTCTTTCATTCTTTGTCCAGAATTTTCATCAGGAAGTTTTATTTCGAGTCTATATATGTTTGCATCCAATTTTCACAAACGATTCGCAAAATTAATACCAAGATTCCTGCATGTTACCAGTAATGAATTATTTCCCTACAAAATTTTCAGAATAAGGGTCCAAATAGAGCTGCCGAACTCGAGTCTAAGATTTCTCTACTCGAACACGACCTTAAAAACACCAAGGATCAATTATTCTCTTCTGAAAAATCCAAGCACCAAGCCCAGAGAGATGCAGCAGAATCCCGCCAACTCCTCTTAGCCCTGTCTGTCAAGCTCAAACAGTACCAAAAGCAAATTCTCAATCAATCATCGTCTACCAAGACAGTAGATAATCTGTCATATCTATCTGAAAACTCAGATGACTCATCCTCATTAGCCTTTGCATTGAATGAGATCCAACTCCTTGAAGCGCGGCTCGAAATAGTAGCCGGGCCTGAGCCTGAGCCTGACCCCGAGCCTTCAAATACCAAGCTCTGTAAACTGGAGGGTATGAAAAGTGAATTAATGAACTCCACAAAATCCGAGTCTCAGGCCAAGGATCTCGTCCACGAAACCCTAATACAGCTTGAGACAGCTAAAAAGACGGTCGAGACACTTAAATCGGACGAATGCAAAGCTAAAGAAAATCAGAATGCCAGGGCCCTTGAGATCGAACGGTTGAGGGCTCACATGAACTTTCTAGAAGAACTCGTGGGCAAACTCGAAGCGGAGAAGAAAAGGGACGGCAAATCTATTGTGATGGATTTGAATTCCATGAAACTCGAGGCAGAAAGGATAAAACGTGAATCGGGCCGGAGGGAGGCCGAGCTGGAGGCCGGGCTGCGTAAATCGAGGTACGAAATTGAGGAGATGAAGGGAAACATAATGGACAAAGAAAATGAAATACAGAGCATGTGCGAGGAGAATGATGGCCTTCTAATGCAGCTTGAGGATTTAAAAACAAAGTTGAAGGATAAGGAGAGAGAGTGCGTGATTTTATCGGATGAGAACGAAAAATTGAAATCAGAAATGAAGGAGATCATTGTGAAGATTGGAATTTTGACGGAAGAAGTGGTTAAGAGCGATAAAAAGGCATCACGAGTGTTCGAGCAACTGGAAGCAGCCCAAAAGGCGAATATCGAGATGGAAGTCGAGTTTAGGAAGCTGAAAGTGCAGTGTGATCAATGGAGGAAGGCTGCTGAGGTGGCTGCTGCAATGGTTTCAGGAGGGAGTAACGGGCAACTGGTTGTGGAGAGAACCGAGTCCATGGACAGCAGCTACATTTCACCTGATTTTTTTTATGGCGATGATTTTGTGAAGAAGAAGAATGGTAAAATGCTGAGCAGGTTTGGGGTTTTGTGGAGGAAACCCCATAAATAAAGGACATGGAGTTGGTGATTTGTTGTTAGCTAGGCTGTTAGTTGATTCTGGCTCCTTTTTTGTTTATGTATGGATCTGCTAAGGTTGTATTTGTGATGCTGATTGTTTATGGGACAATGTTTTGTGCTGGAATGACCCGTTTCTGATGTTTATGGGACAAAAAAATTAATATTCACTTATTAAACTTATCTAATTCTCAAAAAAATTGCACATGTATTAAACATTATGTATAAATATATAAGAAACAAAATTTAATATTTTTATATAGTTTGATTGAATATGTTATTTCGGCTGTTTTAAAAAATATCCAAAATTTTAAAAATAAAACCAGACTTAATAGAGTATTAGTGTACTTTTTTTTTTTCATGCGGTGTCATTTCGATACGATAAAGTGCATTATCAAAATTATTAATGTGCAATTAGTATATCAATGAAGTGCAATTTGCAATACATGTCATTTTTAATATGTATAATAGTAAATTACATATAATTTTTTTAAGTATTGTGCATTTAACTTATCATTAATATGCATTCATTACCATATAGTTTTACATGAAATAAGATAAAAAAAAAACAATAAAAATTCACAAAATTGCAAATAGCCCCCTATACATTATCTAATTTTCAAAAAATGTCAGAACCCTTTTTTAAAATTAACCAAACCAAACAAAAAAATCTAAACAAAACAAAAAATTTTATATCCAATCATGCTCTAAATCCCTAATTTTTACATCTCAAATTATGTTTGCAGGATATCCTCCCACTGCCGCTGCTCTTTTGTCCCTCTCGCCATCTGTTATCCGAGCCGACCTCGTCCGCGACGCCGCCGTGAGGAGCTCTCCGACGCCGGTGTGGCCACAACCGGCCGCCAAATGCAGAGTATTGTTCGGTCGCTCCAGTGGAGCTCGCCGACAAGCTATGTTTGTGTGTATTGTGTGTGCGAGTAGGGCGGTGGCGGCGGACGGCGGACCAGTGGCGGCGGATGGCGGACCAGTGGCGGCTGGTGTGACTGTGATTTTTTCCGACGGGCGTGTTGTGTATGTTTATTGTGTGTGTGGGTGTGTGAGAGAGAGTGCAATGTGGTGTGGGTGGCGGGGTGGGGTAGACATGGCCAGGTGCCGGGTTCTGGCCCGGCCCGGCCCGGCCCGCCAGGCCACCGGCCAGCCAACCCGCGGACCGCAACCGGACCGCTAAAAACCAAAGGGCGGTTCATAGAACCGGCCCGAACCGCCAGTTCACCGGGCCGGCGGTTCACCCACGGGTACGGCCCTTGAAAAAACCAAAGAATTTAGCCCGATCCGGCCCGGACCGCCGGTACAAAAAAAAAGGGAGAACCGTAACCGGCCCGCTTTGGGCCCGGTCCGATTCACTAACCGGCCACTGTTCATGTCGGTGCCGGTGCTGGTGCCAGTTCGGACCGTGCCGGTGCCGGTTCACGGTTCGGGCCACGGGCCGGTTCGGCCTGTGGCCATGTCTAGGGTGGGGTGGGAGTGGGGTGGATAATTGATTGATTGATTAATGGTTATTGATTGGGGGTAGTTGTCAGTATATTAAATATGTATTGAGGCCCACCTTATTGGGTGATTGGTTGAAAACTACTACATTACCTTTAATGAATGTATAATTCTGATTTTTTTTTTATCCATTAGATCATCCGATCTAATGGTTAACGATTTAGTCTTATTTCTTTCACTGAACACCATTTTCATGGGAGCGCGACCGTATATATATATATATATATATATATATATATATATATAAGAGATCATGTGAGAATGATAGATGGTGAAAGAAATAAGAATGAATATATGTCATTGGATCTATCATTTCAATGGTTATGATTAAGTCAAAATGTAGTCAATCATTAATGGCAATGTGGTAAATTATCATACATTGTGGTCAAATATACACAGTTGACCAATAATTAAGGGCAATCTAGACATTACACATTTACACCATATCACATTGGGCCCCCCACACAACAATATCGGTAAACTCTCTCTCTCTCTCTCAATCTTTCTCTCTCTCTATATCTATTTGTATCTCTCTCTGTCGCTCCATCTTTCTCTCCCTCTCTCCACCACCGATCACAGCGGCTGTTCACGGTGAAACCACGCCTCCCCACGGCAACAGAACAACTTCGGTCCCCGTCGTCGTCAATCTATCCTCAGTAACACGACATCCGCCATGGAAGACATTGCCGCCGGCGAACCAGCTTTTTCGGACGTTCTTCCGCCTCTGAATGTTGTCGTCGGACTCTGCTCCCGCAACTGTGTCGCCACTGTTGTCCTTCCCATAACCCGCACAAAGGAACGACGATGGTCGAAGATAAAATGGCCGATTTTTTTTTTTTTTCTGAGCAGATGGAGTCGTCGAGTTCCTAGCGGCGGGCTGTGGCGGCGTCAGGTATTGGACGATGAAGACGGCGGCGGTGACCATAACTACGGTGACTGGAACTTCCGGATCTGAGCTCCGGTAAAGGTGGACAAGAATGGTGTTGAAATTGTTTTTTTGGAATTATGGGGTTATCATTTGGGAAATTAGATATATTGTAGGGACTTAATTGCAATTTATTCAAGTTTCTTTTATTTCTATTTAACACAAGAGGTTAATTTGTAATATAATAAAAGTTTAACCAATGCACATTAAAGTTACATAAATTGCACATTATTATGTGAGTGTACACATTAAAAAAGAAAGTCATGTTTTTTTTTTTTTTTTTTAAGAAATTATAGTTTAATAGCTTCCTACACATTTAAAAGTTCACAAATATAGTTTTTAATGAAATAAATATACATAAAAATACAATAATAAAAAATAATAGTATATTTTATGTAGTTCGGCCGTTCGATTATTTTGGATATTTAAATTAAAAAATAAAAAAATTATTACATTTAATACAATTTTTTTTTTTATTTTGGTTATTTGAATATAAAACGATATCACATCGGAATAATCGATATATAAAAAAATAATAATAATAACTGACCCAAATGTGCAATCGCAAAATATAAAATACATATATAAAAAATATTATTAATTTTCATAAGAAAATAGAAATAAAAAAATAGATAATATTTTTTATATAGTTTAACATGTTTGGTTATTTTGTTTATTTTAAAAAAATTAAATTCGACCTTTAACCAAATAATATAAGTCGAACGATTAGCATAATTACTGCAATTTTGGTAGTGTTATCACCCGACTCGGTAAAAGTGTAATTAAGGACCTTAAAAACGGTGCTGTAAGCAAATTTAACTGACACGTCATCCCGGTTCGCACAACAAACCGATACGACTCAAGGAGACCGAAGCGACTCATTTTCTCCGAGGTCATTCCAAACCGGGGTCAGCTTGAACCGAAGTCGTCACCTCCTAAAGCAGGTGACAAGGCGCCTACGTGCTCTTATCACGACTTACAAGATTTTACATCATTAAAGTGGGGTCCACAGATCTCGCCGCCCACCAAAAAGTAGCTTTATGAAAAAGCAAATGCACAAATCCCGATATGTACATAAAAAAGCTACTATAAATAGCTACCCTATAACGCTTGTACGGGGGATCCCGAACTCATTCATATGCAACACGCAATAGCCCATAAAGGCTTTCCACCTCGGTCCATCTCGGACCGGGGCCATTGTTGAATTGTTCTCACATGCTTTACGTTTAAACCACTTGAAATTGTCTCATAAACTCCACCTTAAATCGTTGTTAAGAATCATACGACAACAGTTTGGCGCTAGAAGGAGGGCCTCATAAGTGATTTGAGGTTAATCTCCGCTTTCTCAAATAACGATTCACGTCAGCCATATCCAGTATGTCCCATTCAAATCATCGTGGTAATACTTCACGAGATGGCCACAGTCGCAGCGCTGCCCAATCCGCCAGACGGCAGGCCGTAGCTCCCCCTGTACCGGATTATACTGTTCTGTTTCAAAATCCGGAATTTGCACGTGGTTTCGCCGCTCTGATGGCTCAAACGATCCCCGGCACATCGACGACTGCCCCGAGACACTCTATAATACCAACAACTCCTGCAAATCCGCAAAATCCACTGGTGCAGCGAGACGGCGGAAGAACTACGTCTCACGCAACCTCTCAACCTCGTGATAGAACGTCGCAACCACCTCCGGAACAAACCACACGTCGCACCGACGTCGGGCGCAATCCTCCTATACTTCCTCATGAAGAGACCGCCGAAAGCCAGTCTGGTCATTCACGACGGTCACCACCTCATGCACAGCGCCGAAACCCCTCCAACCCGGCGCAGACCGACCTTCGGCAGCACATAGAACGAAATCGGGCTCGTCAAGAATCATCCGAACTTGAAACATTGCGACGGAGAGTTGCCGAATTGGAAAGTCGGCAACGGGCACCCGAAGACCCACCTCGGCGGGCTTCAACATCGGCGCAAGTATATCTGGAAGCCGACTCCCCTCTCACGCCAGAACTTACTTCGGAACCCGTGCCTGGGAAGTTAAAGTCCCCCAGATCGGGCTATACGATGGAACTTCAGACCCGATTCACATCTCGGTCACTACACGTCGTGGATGGACTTGCACGGGGCCTCAAATGCACTTCGGTGTCGTATGTTTTCTCTCACGCTGGGGCCTCGGGCCCAAAAATGGTACCATTCTCTACCTCCTCACTCAATTTGGAAATGGCAACAATTAAGGTCGGCTTTCCGATCTCATTTCATCGGGGCTCAAGTCTGCCTAATTCCAAAAGAGTCTCTCGCAAACGTAACTCAAAAGGATGATGAAAGTGTCAAGGATTATATCGCCCGGTTTAATGACCGAGTTCAAAACATGGAACCTTGTCACCCCGAAACCTTGCTTGTCATGGCTATTGCCGGACTGAAACCGAATTCGATTTTCCGCTGGACGCTGTGCCAAAATAAACCAAACACTTTTCAAGAATTTCTTGCTCGAGCTCAGCAACACATCATAGCTGAAGAATCCATGTCGGTCCCCGATTTTAACTTTAACCCGAAGTCTTCTAAGGCAGGAACCGACGAGAAAAAGAAGAATAAATTTTTCGAAAAGCAAAGCAAGGCTCAGTTCAGGGGACCACCCCGAGGAGACCCCGATGACCCTGAAGTTCGAGCAGCCCGAAAACAGTATGCTACCGATGTAAAGTCCGGTTATCAAACCGTATACTCTGCAGGGGCAGCTACCATATACGAAGAGATCAAAGGGAAAGGCATTTTACCGGATCCCAAACCACTTCGGATGCCTGAAGAAAAATTGGATAAGTCCCGGTATTGTGACTATCATAAATCGTCGGGGCACAATACTGATGAATGTTTAAGCTTGTTGGCTGCCCTGTTACGTTTAATCGGTCACCCGCAGCTCAGAAAGTTCTACCGCAACACTGACCCCCAGAGACGAGGTCCAGGACACCAGATTGAATCATATGATGAAGATGACGAGGAGGACCGAGGCGCCATGCCAAAACGCATCCGACAAGAAGACAAGGAAGTATTTATGTTCACCTCTGAAATGCCCGATTCACACTTTGTTGGAACTGCCCGAGGACGTAAACGAGATCGATCTCCTGAACCGGTGCAAATCACAGTCCACCGTGTCAACACCAATAACTCCCGGAGTACATTGTCCCGTCGACAAATCAATGCCTATGCCCGACAAGCGTACAACTCCGGCAAACAGGTGTACACTACTGATTTGAGAGACATCCTCAACAATCGGAACTGTCCCATAACTTTTAATATGGAGGATGCTAATCATTTCGCACACCCTCATTTTGATGCACTTGTTATCACTGTCCCTATATGCGGAATTCCTGTTCATCGCGTCATGGTAGATACTGGGGCCTATTCGAGCATTTTGATGTTAAAAGCCTTTGACAAAATGGGTCTTGATCCCGCCGACATCCAACCTTGCAATGATCAGATACAAGGGTTCAACGTAAGTATTTCGAAGCCTATCGGCGAGATCACTTTACCTGTCAGATTCGGCACTTCGGAGAACGTCACTAAGCTCGTCATGGA